GACGTTGTTAAATAGTTCGGTATCTATAAATATCATAATAATATACAGATAGTCATCTTCAACTTGAAAAATTCGTTAATAAAAATTAAGGTTAATTTTTGGAATTTCTGTAAATCGTCGTCGATGCTTCTCCATCAGCAACGCGTTTTCTCCGTCGGTGTTGAAACGTTTCGCGGGAACTCGGAGTCGTAGTTTTTGTTCGGAAAGTTTAATCGCGTACGCGAGTAACAATCATTTTCCCCGCGCGGAACGCGTCGTGAGAAACAGTTTCAGGAAGTTGGCAAACTCTTGCAACCTTCCACCTTTCGTAGGCTCGACGAGCTTCGTCATCAATCACCGCGGATTATCTTTCGTCACTGTGCAACCTTTTGTCCGCAGTTAATCTAACCGGTAGATTAACGTCGGGCTCGCGAGAAACGCCGTTTCATATTCGTCGGGGCGACTTTTTTATCGCATCAAATATCACTTAGGCCGAGGCAGACGCGCTCTCTTGCCGCGTTTACGCGAGACAATTTAGCGCGTCCATTTATCCTCGGACCGGAGGCTCCCCCGATCATTATCGATTAGTCTCGCGGAAACGTGCTTAGAAACTTTCCGGATAACGGAAAAAAACCAAAGAACATTTAACAACAAACATTCGATTCCGTTGGATCGTTTCGTCGATTGCTCGGTTACTATCGATTCTATCGAAACTTTCGCCGGGACAAAAAAGTTCAGAAATTTCATTCCCAACGACTTTTGTTCCATGCATTTTTCCTGTGAAACCGAAGGGAACGGAGATATGGCGGTGTTTTTGGCTCCCCGTTTTGGGGCACTCTTGGGAAACATTAAAATTAAATAAATCGGTTATTTCCGGGATTATTTTTGTCAAACTAAGAACAGCATTTTCATTTTGTAAAATTACATTAATTAAATACATACTTGGTAACTCTGTCGTGTTTAATTAGTAAATAAATATTCAACAGTTTTAAGAAACTTGTTAATTATAAAAAATAGAAATTATCGTTAAAGTTTGTGTAGGATCGTGAGATTCCTTGTCAGTCAAATTCGCGTAGGTATTTCGCGAGGTTGGATGGACGATGGTTGGTCGAGGCTCGCGAACGAGGAAAGCGGTCGTGTGTTTCGTTTTTGCACGATGTTGGAAACGCGGCTTTCCAGCGCGCGGTTTTCAGCCACGGCGAACCAGTTTGTCAGCCGCGGCGGAGCGTGGCTCGGAGGGATTCGCCAGCTGATATTTCGCGATAAGTTTATCGATGTACGATATTCGCGGGGCCGGACGGACGCCGCTTCGGATGTATCTAAAGCGGCGATAACTCGTTCTGCCGAGAGAGTGGTTTCACCAGCCCCGCAGCAGCGGCGAGGCCTCACGGTCTAATCTTTATGAACTCCATTAAGACGGCTGGAAACGGCTACTGGGTAGGAAGGAGGCACCGGTGGAAAGAAACGACCGCGTCCCACGGGGCCCTGAAAAGCCCCCGGTCCGCCCACCACGGACAACGGGGCCCACCGAAACGGCCATTTTTTATCGTAATTCCCCATCCGGATAAGAATTTTACCCATCTCCGGCGCTCCCGTGTCCGCGTCTTTCTTTCTTTGCTTTCCCGAGCGACGGTTTCGTTGGAATCGCGCCGCGCTAGCGAGCGTTTAGCTGGCGCCAAGTAGAAAGCACGTGTCTCGCGTAAATCGAGAAACAAGTCTCGGAATATGTAGGTGAACAATGTTTTGATATCGAAGAAAAGTGCATTCGTAGAACATTCAACGAGAACCGAAAATTTCGAACGCTCGAAAACCGCTGCTCGTTGTTATTGGTTACGTCAAATTAATAGGCGATACTTTTCCGTAGGAAGTTTACGGCCGGGAGAAAATTTACGGTGACGGTTCGTAGATAAACGACGGTTAAAAAAGTTTGTAGAAATTGAATGGAAGAAAAGTGGTCGGGAGACCTGAAACTCCGCGTGCCCGATAAAACGAATTTTTATTCCTTTCTAAGAAACTATCTCACGCTTCGGTAAGTCTGATATCACACTATCGGGCACCACTTAATTCCCCCGTAAGAAAAAGAATCCAGGATATCCTCGAGCCGGGCGCACCGGCATCGCCCGGCAACGCCACAGAAGTTTCCTACATCGAATCGGCGAAGAAATTCTAATCATCGTCACTTTGTTTTAATCTATCGAAGAAACCGTTTCTGTGCTTCTGACGTTGGACACCTTTTAGTTCTCTAAATAGAAAAGGGAAAGCGGGAAATCCTTAAGTACGATACGTTTAGATTATTCAGAGATCGTACGGTGTTTCTCGTGTTCACTTCACCAGAACGTATTTCGCCCGAAATAAAACGTGAAAACGAAAGAATGCCGAGCAGATAAATTGGAATTATGCAAAGGCTGAATATCGACGGCGGTGAAATTTACTTTTACGGAATACCGAACGTCTAAAAATGAATTTTTTAATGAAAATAGACTGCTATTTGATCTAAATACGAGACTAATATAATCTCTAACCTTTCACGTTCTGGTATGGGTATTAAATTATCACTGACAAGTAATTTTCAAGTGTATGTATTGTGATATTGGGATCTGTCGCCTCGCGTATTTGCCGCCAGAGGGACTGTTTCTCTCGCAAGCGCTCGACCGAGTACCCAACATCCAAGCCCTCACAATACTTTAGAGCAGTAAAATAAAATTCTATTCTGTCACGAGTCATTATTCATAACAGAAAAGTAGTAACATCCGAATAACCCTGCACTTTTCCATAGATCTTACCAATGTGTTTTATAGTAATGGTGTACAGAGAACACTGACTTTAAGATTTTTTAAAAATGGAGTCTAGTTCCCTAGGGAAGAACTATACCGATCCTCCTAATATTTTAGTAGTTGTAAAATCAATTCGTTCGGCCATAGAAGTCAGATGCACCGGCTGCACGGGGTGAGATACGGTATTTCGGCGTTCCCGATCGATCATCGATCCCCCGGGGGAACGGAAGAGGGGGGTAAAAAGCGGATCCACCGTCGTATTTTAGGCACGTTGAACGAGAGCCTCCGGGGCGGGAGAGTACGACGATATTTATGGAGGCAATTAAATTCGCGGTAACACACGATACTCTCGAAGCGTCGAAGGGAGAAGAAACGAAGGGCGGAAGGGCGAGGGAACGGTGGCGCGTGGGAGGGCCGTGCAGAACGTCTAATCGCGCGCACGAGTCCCTCGCTATGCATGCGCACGTGATCAAGGCACCACGTTCACGGCCGTTAATCTGTCCCCTTTTATTTTATACGAGGCGATCCGTTGCTTTACGAGGAACGGTGTTAGATTCGAGCCTCTCGCCGGGAACCACGGTCCAGAGAGGGACGGAGGAAAATCGAGCGTATCTCGTGGAAGAAAGATGGCCAGCCGTGGGGGGAGAGGCTCGACATTTCAGTGCCTCGACGCTGCTGGATCGGGATGCCCCGGCGAATAAGAAGCGACGCGACCTTTAAACGACTATGGCGGCCAACGTCGACCGGATTACACCGCGGATTGGAACAGATCCGCGACACAGTTCTCAGAAGCTTGGGTAAATAAAGTTCCTGCTGGAAGCTACGAGGAACAGTGGAAAAGTGATCCAAGCCTCGATCCTAAGCGCTTCTCGGATCTTCCGAGAATCTCGCGTGTATATCGAAGTTGAGGTTCCTAGGAACTCCCGCAAAGTGTTCGGGGTAAAATAACTTCGTTCACACGATATATGCATTAACATTTATTGTATGAGAAGAAAATAATTAAAAATAACGCGTATGGATCGAGATAGATTTAGGGTCGAGCACACTGGATTTCATCGTAAAGAGTACTGTTGGATGATCAACCTCCTTATCAATGTATATTCTGGCTCATAGCCTCTTAGTCGCCTAGATGACAAGCCCTTGCTCATTTTGTTAAGGGTAGAGTTCACCTAGGTTCGTCATACCGTGCCCCTTTTTCCTTTCTTCAGTTTTAGTATATAAGATCTAGAAAGTAGGCAAGAAAGAGCATTTCATTATTGACTGTCGGACTGTCAGGCTCGTTTTAATGTCCGCCATTGTTTGCCTCAAATATACATATATTCATATTTCACCCGCGTACTAATTTCTCCAACCCGGACTTCAACAGTACCGTGGCGCCCCCATTGGTAATCGACACCATAGATCGTTAATGCCATCGAACGATCATGAAGCTCGAGGCGATTTCTTGCGGGGAGATAAGTCGAACTGGAAGATTAAATTTGTTTACCGTCCGGTCGCGTAGGAGTCAACAAGACGATTAGATCGGATTATCGAACTCAGGCCGCCTTCGACAATTATAAATACCCGTCAGGCTGGCGAAATTCCAGTGACTCCGCGTTCTTTCCTCACGCCTTTATGTCCGCGTTCACTCACCTTCCTCCGCTTCCGTTCGCCCGGAACGATGTTTGCCAAGAAGTCGTGACCCGTCCAGCCGTTTCGATCCTCTCCACGGACCTTGACAACTTCCGTTGATCCCCCCCACGTGACGCCTTTTCACGATCCCCCCGAAAATTTACGGGCTCCGCGTGTCGCGAAAGAAGCGTCATCGCGCCGATTTTCGAGATATTCCAGAGCTATATTTAATATCAATCCTAACTTTCGATCCAGTGATATTTGCTTGTTTAATTAATATGAAGATTATGGTAAGCTAGTGTTTCGATATTTGCAAGATGTCTGTGGCGTCATCTCTTGTACTCGCCACCAGAGGGCCACGATCTTGTCTCTCTCGCAAGCGCTCGACCAATTTCCCAATAATCAGGATCTGCTAGAAAGCCTTTTACTGATGAGTGCACTAACCTCCTCCCTCTCCCCCTTGTCCTTTTCTGCCTTCTCACGATCTTTCTCGCTTCCTCCACCTGGTGGAAGCAGCGCCACAGCTATATTTTCATAGCTTTCGTTGTCAAAACGAAACTTTGTTTCCAGACAATTGGAGACCAGCAAAGCCTAACTTTAACTTGAAATAACCGGGAATGTTGGTTTCTGTTGCAGAGAGGTGTGCGTGGACGAGGGCCAGCAACTGTCTCTGGCGCACGGGTGCCAGTTCTACGAGGTGAGCGCGGCGGAGAGTCCCGCGGGAGCGGCGCTGGCGTTCCAGGCCCTCCTCCGGGAGGCGAGATCGGTGCAGCTGCTGCGTGCGCTCCCGATACGCCGGAAACTGGGCGTGCACTCGGTCTCGAGGGTGCTCGGTACGATATTCGGGAAGAACACCACCAAGGACCGGAAGAAGAGGCCCTCGCTGAGCATATGACGCCTCCTCTGCTCCCTCCTCCTCGGAGGTCGTGACGAACCGGACATGAGAACCGACGTGATCGTTCTCAGCAGCAACGTTTACGCGAACCGCTGACCGGGGACGCCGAGAACGGGAACTCCGACCAAGAAAAGTTGCACACGCACGAGCAGCTTTCTCGCGATGAACATTTTATCGAATTCGTTCGTTCCTCGACGGGGGGAAAAAGTGTCCTTTCGAACGAGCAGAGAGGCGAGCTACGCGACAATGGAGGGCGCAGTAACTAGTTGTGTTTTTCCTTCGCGCTGGATCTTTCGAGAGCCGAGCAGACAGGGCGTAACCGAGAGATCGATGGCGTCTGGGTGAGGCGGAGGTTGTACTCCGTCAGTTTGCTTGGCATTTGCGTGAGATCCTCGCGCAGAGACGTTCAGCATCCGGCTAAGAAACATTCGTGAGAACAGTGGATTGATCGGGCCGTGTGAAAGACTGCCGCGGCCGTGGAAACGACGACTGGCTCGTGAAATTCAAGCAGAAACCGAGTGTGCCACGAGGATCCGCGTCCGTTCCCTTTTGTGCTCTGTGCGCGTTCGACTCCATTTTATTTTGACCGTGGAGTCCGGCGGACGCGCGAACCCCGCTGTTCCTGAACGTTCTAGCTTTAAACGCGTCTGTGGAGCCGGTGGCGGATCTAGAAGAATCCAAAGGGCCGAGAAAAGATCGCGATAAATATTCGAGAATCTCACCCCCTAGAAATTAGAAACAGAAGGTTCGAAGATTGATCGACGCTTGTTAACGAATAAGGAAATCGTGTGATGCGATTCAAATTCAGGTAATACATTTATTTTGGTCAACGAACGGAGGGGGGGGGGGGGAGAGGGTTGAGACATTGTATCCCCCCCTCCTGTATCCGCCACTGTCTAGAACGAAACGATCACGATGACTCTCGTCAGAACTTTTAAGTTTCATTATTGCAATGTGAATTCGTCTGCCTACGAAAAATTTTTAACCGACGAGAGAATTGTTTTAAGTTTCACACGTGATATTAATGTTCGCGTCTCGGATTAACCGAGATGGCGACAAGCATCGTTCTCCGTCGGAGGACGGAAACACGAGCTACGAGAGCGCGGGGACTGGCGTCGCCTTTGAACCTAAACCCGACAGTCTTTCAAATTTCGCAGCTGGACGGCGCTGCAGTCGCGATTCGAGCGCGGGGCTCTATCCTTTGGAGAACGCGAGCGCACGTCGAAGGGATCGGTCGATGGTCGCGAAACGGGAGGAGGAAGCAGCTCAAATCGTAACGAACCGGTTGTAATTTCAGGCACACGGCCGAGTTTTCCTCTCGAGAGTTTAACTCTACGATCGCGACACGCTTAACACTTCGAGTCAGGTGACTACGGTAATTCGAAATCCTAATCTTACCCCGGATTCGAGCAACCAAATCATCCCCAATGGCTCGTATTCACGCGACTATACCCTTATTTTATTATTCATCTTCGATTCGGGATCAAAATTGGTAGCTCGGTTTTTTGTAACTACTGCACCCAGGTTTAGCAACAGTATATTCCAGTCTGATAAAAATGTTTTACTCGCGGTGTTAAGACGGAGGAATCATTTCGCGAAACACGAAAATCGAGAGTTGCTTTCGTTTCGACGAGTCGTATTTAAAACGAGACGCGGATTTCCGTGCTCGAGATCGGGCCTCCGGGTTCCGAGTAATCGATTCGACAACCTTAATGTTCCTACTGAAAGTAGCCTAAGTGTACATAGCGCACATTTACTTGCTGAGTATAACTCTAAAGAGATTCGTGGAATCGTTTAAATATTAAGGTCGCGAGATTAGCGGAGAGGGGAGAGGATGGTCCGAGAAACCGGACCGATTGGAATCCTTCGAAAGGACAGATTATCCGTTGCAAGTATAAATATTTAATCGCGGGTTATCCTTCGTTTCTTTCTTATTTTTTCTCGCGCTGACAGAGACAACCGTGACAACGGGTCGGAGCATTTTGTAAATTGTTCGTTTTTCTACGGTAAACGTGTACGTCAACGACCACGGTCGGGTTTAAGATTCTTAGTTGGTAAGTCGTGTATGTATATTTTCAGTGCCTTTCGCATTGTCAGTGTTGGGTGTACAAGTTCTTCCGAGCTCGCAGGGTCACCTTTCATCGTCTATGCGTTGTCTCCCGGTTAATCGAAAACATCGAACGATCTTTATTTTTAACATTTCTTTACAATTTTTTGAAATGAGTATTACCAACGAATTGGCGAGGTTCTCCCGGTTAAAACGAGTACAAACACGACCCTGTTACGATTACTTTTAATTATACGTGTTTGGCGCGCGCTGCCCCAGATGTCGCTCGTGATACGCGAGTTGGACCGAATGGGGTCGTGTTTGGACTCGTTTTAATCGGAAAATAGTTGCCAATTCATTGATAATACTTTTACGAAGATGTACCGAAAAATATAAAAAATTTTATTTTCATTGTTGCTCTTTCAAAATATCGTTATCCTTCGCAAGTAAATGAATAGGAACGAGTTAGTCGATTAACCAGGAAATACTGTATGGTCGGACGGAATTTATTTGACCGTTCAATGGTATGGTGGGGGGTAAAGCCTCAGTTGGTCCGACTTGGCCTTGAAAGTGCTGTGAATATATTTTTCTTCCTCGACGCGGTGTCTCTTCGATATTTTTTTATTTTGTATTTTTGTACTTTCGCTGGAATCTTTTTCGCGAGTTCGTGTACTCGGAAACGAGCAAAGAGGCGGGCGAAACGACGTATATTTGTACAGCATCGAACATCCGTTGGTCGATGAAACGATACTTGTTGGAAGTGTGCGAGGCGTGGGTGAAAAGAGGTACCCCTGCGAGCTGCTTAACGAAGGATGAAAGAATGTGCTTCCAGAGCGTGCCTAATCGATACATTCCAAAACGTGTGAAAATTAGAGGATCTAATGAGCGTGAGTGTGTCATGCGGTTTTCGAATTCTGACCGATATCGATCGCTGTATTTTAAGTGCTAGTCACTTGTTATCGTAAATTGAGAAAGAATAAAATTCTTTTGTTAAACTTCACGGCGATATTATTTCCCTGCGCCCTGCTGCGTTTCTCCTGAGCCAATCTGCCATGAAAAGTTTTATTATTAAGATTCGTTTAAAGAAAACAAAGTTGCTTTTCGAGTCTCTTTTACGCTTGCATCTACGTAAAAAATATCGCCGCCATATTGGGTATCTATCGAAACCATATAACCTCCTTAACCACTATGCAAAATATCTTTTGTCAAAAGTAAAAATACGTATAGGTTATGCGACCTGTAGATCGTGTCGCGGAGTTTGCTCTTCTATAAGCGTAGTTGGAACGGAGTTGACTATAAATTGTCTCGCGAGCACGCGAACAAGAACGTATCCAATAACCGAGCCACATTGCAACATTAAGGGCCGGCGACGCGGGCTCGTTTTTTATCATTTTCTGCGCCGCGAACCTGCAACCCGGCCCACCGCCGGAAGACGCCGGATGCAAGCGTTTCTTTTTCACCGAAATTTATTAACGATCCGTGATTCACGCAGCAGGGTAGCCGAAACACCGGTCCGCTTATTTCAGTGTGCTTTCTTTCCCGACTTTTTCCTTTTGGCTCTCTTCCCCTCTCTATACAGGAGGTATCAAAATATTTGGGTGTTCGGGGGTTGCTATTATTAACAGTTTTAATAATTCCTAATAATAGCAACGTACATAAATAGAGGGACAGTTTCCACGTCACACTGCAAGGTAATTATATGTTTAAACTAATCGACGGTTGCTAAATTTAATTATAATTCCTCCTTTTCATCGGAGCATTCCGGTTTTATTCTTTCTTAGATTGTTAACGTTTGGTTAAAGAATCACCAGGGGGCCACGAGCTATGCAATAGAATAATGGCGGACGGTAGATCTATTCTGTGGGTAGTTTATGCCCGATTGACAAACGATATTGCCCGCGACGAGTTATCGCGGGATCGTTGCGAGCAGATACATACACCGCAGACACAGACGGGAGCCGTATTTTATTTCTGTATCACGGCTGACAAACACGTGTTGCACCCGAAACCTTGGCCCGAATCGCTAGTTATTCGGTCAGTTCATCGTTGATTCACGCTGCACCGTCGTGCGCGCGGCTCACGGGCACCGGGGAATCGTCTAATTTTGCTACGACGAGGTATCCGGCGTTATATTCCTCTCGCTCGTTTTTCCTCGTCGGCGATCTCCACCGAACGCGATACGGCGTTGCAACGGAGTTTTTTAACCGAGCATCGAGTTTCCAAACGGAATCAAGAAGCTCCGTGTCTTCTTCTAAAACCCATTTGTAGCGTTATATACGGACACGTGATCACGAACACGAACCCGCTAGAAGTTAGGATATATCGAATCAAAAGATCTTTGTCCTCCGTCATCTCGACCAGCGGCGACGTAAACAACCTAACCCTTCCCCTGTCGCGTGACTCGCTCAGCAGCAGCGCCACCTAAACGGCGACAAAAAGTAACCATAAACCTCCGAGCGCTGCTCTCTTTCAGAGTCCGACATCCTCGAACTTTCATCCGTGCCAGAAACGCGACACGAGCGCGATTTTCCAGGCGACATTACGAGGTGACAGGTACAAGGCCTGAAAACGTGATCGGGTTTAGGATTTCCATGGGGTGGACTCGTTCCCCGTGGCCCCTCGTAGAAAACTACCAACCCCCCCTACCCCCTCTCTCTCTGTCCCCCGCCGTTGGGCCGGGGCTGCTCATGTTACCGCGGCGTTTCGCGTCTCGCCGCTGGCCCGGCGGAAGACAAACGAGCGGCTCGCCCCGATAAAACGATGCCCGTGCTCGATTTATCGCCACGAAACGGTGCACCGCGCCGGGGACAATGTTCCAGGGGGCGCGCGGTCCGGTCCAGGACGAGTCCAATTTGCGTATTTCAGGCCGCGAAATTGGAACTTCAGCGGCGCGTGTCGCGTTACCCCGATAACTGAGCCAGCCTCGCTGGAGGATACCCCCTTCGCCCCGCCCACGATATTATCCGTCCGCCATTTGCATTAATTGCCATATCGTTGCGGGGCACGCTCGACCCGATCAAAACGACGGATCCTCTTTCTTCGTCTATTGCTAAAATTGCATCGACTAGACAAACAAATGGACGTTATCTTCCAGATAATAACAATAATATAGTCTTTTAACCTATACCATCGTGATTCGAAAATTACAAGCGTTACGTCTCCATCCCCTGATCGCTCAATAATGAAGAGTATAGACCCAGAATTACTAGTCCATTGATTTGGGGAGGGAATAAAATAAATGATAACCAGAGATTAACGATAGGATCTCCATATCCATGAGAGATACATTTTTATTCTATTCATAATGACTACGCCAATGTCCAGTATGTTTCTACTCTGTCTTGATGCGTTTCGTTCGCGTCCTTCGCCGCGCGATGGAGCTGTAGTTGCGATCGACTCGGCCAATGATGACAATGCGTGCAAGGGCAGGCGTCGCTATTCGCTATTACTTTACGGCCAATCAGTGTGCCTAGCCATCAGACACTGGAAATAAACATCGATGAAGATTAATCAAAATGTTAGCAGTGTAATGGTATACAGATCATTTGATAAACACACCATGCCATATGTATTTCAGCGAGCCACTTTGAATAGTGTCGGATCATCGATGCGAATTCCTCCCAGTGCCATGTCCGTGGCTGATGGGTGCACCTTTGTTTCTTTGTAATTAATGGCACGCTGTGAGGTTCGCCATTAGAAATTCAGAGCCACGTAAACGGGGCCGACAATGATCACCTGCCGATCACGATCCTAGAGGCCGCTTTCGACAAGGACAATAACGTCGACCACCGTGGAAAACGGCGGGAACAGAAAGAGAGAGAGACACGCGTCGCTGGAAAAGAGACACAGCGGAGAATCGCAGTCGCGATCTGAAGTGCAGATTCTGCACGGCGAAAGCGACGGTTTCCACCAGCATTAACCGACTCAACGGTGAAAACGATGCGAACCGATATTCCCCTCCACTTCCTGGTGGATTAAGGCGAATTCACAGCATCCGTCCGTGTGAATGAAGACGGAACCGAGTGGGGGTTTCATCGGGCGACGAGTGCACCTAAAATCGCCCAGCAAAGATTAATTAATTCTGTTATTATTTCATTAAAACCCAAATTAATCGATTATTTTGGATAGTTCCACGTACTATAGAGAGATGACGTTATGCTACATAGTTAATACTCTGAGCTTATGACGTACGCGCCACCAGAGGGCTACGCTCAACCCTTCTCTCTCACAAGTATACTGACCATCTGTTCCTATATATACGCTCCTCGACCGACTACCCAATATCCCAATCGTTCAAGGCAGGGCCTGCTAGCGGCCTTCACGAAGCAGTACTATACCTTGTCTCTCAGGGTGGCCTTGAACAACCAAAGAAGCTTGCACGGACCAACGGAGGACGCCAAAGGCAAAAGATCGTTCTCGCGTAGCCGCTCGCGCTGACCCTTTGAAACCCTCTCGAGCGATAACCCGTTGGAAGGAAGGGGGGGTCCCTAGGTGGATTTCAGTATTAGAGGGACGACGACGTACTCCTGGGGGGGGGGAACGAAGAGTATCGAGAGTTATGCGCATGTATTAAATTTCAACTCTCGCCCGAGGCCAGACACGCTGCGGCTGGTTCTTGCCTTCCAAGGTGGAGGTGCAAGGTGCAGCGAGACGACCTACGACCTTGCCAGTCACGACCGCGACCATCCGCCGACGTGCACCGCGCGCCTGTGTTTGCATCTCCCCCGCGTGCACCGCGGAATACCGTTTTACTCGCGCCTCGTCTAACGCAGTGTTACACGCCAGCCGTTATTGATGCGCTGCCCGAGTCGAGCCAGACGTAGCTGGCACTCGGGTTACACTGAATTATTCGGAAAGCTGTTCAAGTTGTTGCTCCGGCGACTCCTTGCACCCTACTCGACCGTTATCCATCATTAGTGTCCGAGTCGTTGGAGTTGATTAGTCTCTTCTCTATATATATGTTAAAGATTCGATTCGGGGTTCGTGCATTCCACATTCAATGTTCTCTGACATGGATAGCTTGAAACATTAGCATTGACAACGTCAACCTTGTATTGATCAGTCTTTTTCAATGTGGAATTTGATCCAAAGACTCCTCTTACGAGACATGGTTTGTAGGTTAAGAGGGTGTATATTAGAGAGCTAGTATATTATGTTCATAGGACTCTCATAGCAAAGCGTAAATCATCGCTTGTTCTCCTAAAAAACCCAGGCCCTGTCTTAGGCGCCAGAACATTGAAGATCGGTCGAGGAGTGTATGTATAGGCGGTTGGTCAGTAAAATACTTGTGAGAGAGAGAAGGGTTAAGCGTAGCCCTCTGCTGGCGAGTGTGGAAAGTGTCGCCACCATAATATAATATGCCTCACCACAGTCCCCCAACAGTTGATCTAGGACAAGACGGTGTAATTGTTAAGTTCTCTACGCGTGGTGATCGTTGTTATATCTTAATTGACACAAATATAACAATTTCGCGCCCACCAGAGTTTCGTAACCGAAATGTACCGGTCGAAAACGTGGCGACAGTCCGAACGAGCGGGGCAGAGTAGCAAACAGAGGTTCACAGGGGTACAGACGTATCATTAAGGTAAATGGTTGCTCGCCCGTTTGCTTACGCGCCAGAATGAGCCCTTTTCGGTCGACAAATCCGATGAACAGTGGTTGTACACACCGGGATGAGAAACGGCCAGGTCGGGGCGTGATAAATCAAGCTCCCGGGCTAACCCGTAAACGTCGGGACCGGTGGCCTTCGAACATGGCCATTTTCAGCGGGTAATCGCGCCTGATGGGGGCTACTCGGAATTTGCTAGAACGGACGCACCGACTCGGTGAACGCCAGCCATCAGGGAAAAATTACAGGCGCGTCGTAGGGACGTCAGAAGGAGGACGATTATTTGTCCATGGTGTTAACGATGATTTGTGATGCTAATGCTTTTCACAAAGGGGAAGAGAAACTCCAGATCGAGTGGGATAACTTAAAAAACATTTGTATCGATATGTGGGGGTCCTGTGAAAAGGAAATTCGTATCTAGTAGACGCCATCTTAGACGCTAGGATATCGGGTAGTCGAGGAGCGTATATATACTAATGCAAGGTCGGTCGAGCGCTTGCGAGAGGGACCAGAGCGCCGTAGCCCTCTGGTGGCGAGTACTGGAGGCGATAAACCCTCCACAGATATATTGATTGTCGAAGTTTAGCTACCATTCAAGTAGCAAATCCCAGTCCATCTTGCAATTCTTAACGCAACGCACCTTCAGTAACCGGGAAACGATAAAATCTCGCGATTAACGATCGTGTTTAATCGTCAGTTGCCTTGACAGATGCGTCATTCCACCCGCATTCCGGTCTGATAACCGCATTGTTTGCGAAATCTCGAACAAAGCTCGTTGTCGTGGATGGGTCGCGTGACAAGATTCGCAGTAGACATTACTTCTTGTACACAATACGTTTCGCAAGATCGGATGTTTCAGCGATGATAAAAAAGTATAAAAATTCTCTCCGATCATATCCGCGGAATAAATCAATTATGCAAATAAATAGAACCGGGGGAACGTAACTTTTTGACCTGCTCTTCGCCGTTGAACGCAATCACGGGTATGGGAATAAAATTAATCATAATTCATGGAAGCTCGATTTAATTTATTTGTCAGTATAATTATTTTCATCGTCGACTGTTTATTGCCGCTTCTGATAATTCGACGTATATCACGGTGGTTCAATTAACATTTCATTGCCAGTTAAAATAGTCGTAGACCGTTCGAAATAACCGCGCACTTTTCTTTACACTTCGGCTCTGTAATAATGATTCAGCTTTAAAGGAGAAAATCTATTAGAGAGAGTCGTTAATCGTAAAGATTATAATAGCGCAATATTCATGAATCAAAGGAGTCGATTTTATCTTGCTGTACCAGACAAGTATAATATTCAAGAATTTATTTTTCTTACCCGTTGTGAGAAACAAATTTTCAAATGGAATTTTTAGCATTTTTCATTTTTTTTTTTAACACTCTTTGGCATTTTCAGGGCACGAACTAGCCACGTGGACGTCAGGAAGACTTCTTCCGAGAAAAATAGATCAAGCTCGAGAATCGTTCAAATATTTACAGCATTCCAAAGAAATCGCGATGGCGTACGTCACCCCGTTATCATCAACGGGTCATCGACGATAACGTGTACATCAATCCACGTGTAAGTTTTGCAAATATTTCTTCAACCGTGGAGCGATAGATAAAGAAGACGGAAGCTGTTCCAACTGTTCGAAGGGTACCAAAGTCACTAGCATTCAAGTACCAACGGAACGGTCTAATAATACCAGGCAGTTACAATTTTATTTATAAGCTGTGTACAAAATTCCCAGCGTTTAAGTACCAGAAGAATACGATGGATCCAAACAGCAGCCCACGTGCAGGTTTTGGAACTATTTTTCAGACCGTGGAGCGAGAGAGACGGAAGACGGAAGCTGTTCCAACTATTATTCGACGGATACAAAATCGCCTAGCGTTTAAGTATCAACGGAACGGTCTAATGATACTACGCAGTTACAATTTTATTTATAAGTTGTGTACGAAATTCCTAGCGTTTAAGTACCGGGGGAACATAACCTTCCAAACACGATCTCGTTCGGTGAGTCACCGAACAACGGCCAAGTTCGTCGAAAAGAATAACGCTCGATGCCAACGAACCCGGTTGCCAAGCATTTTCCATAAAAAAAAAAGAAAGACCGTTAAATTTAAGTGGCGTTGGTTTCGAAGACGATCCGCCAAATATAATTTTCTTCGGTCGTTCGACGTCGGAGAAAAATGGCGGGAACCGTAGAATGCACGACGTGGACGACGGGAGAGGGAGCCCCAAGACGTATGTATTTCGTGGAAGTTCGCAGCGCCGTGTGGAAAACACGCGACGTTTCGAGGAATTAAAGACAAACGCGCGTGGTTGGTCGGCTGACGCTAATAAACAGCGGCGAGATAGCATAACACTAAATCAACGGGCGGAAGCGAGAGAGGCCACGAATATTTCTAATTAACGAACCATTACCGCATCGGTGAAGTATCGCGTAATAAATACGGCAGGTATACCCGGCCATATGTCGCAATAAACGTGCTTTTAATCGTCGACCTGGAATTCCTCGTCGCTGTGATCCTGAACGGAATAATTAACGCGTCGCCCGTAACTGTAACGTACCGGTACAGTTGCGATTCTCTTGTTGCGAATTATTCCGGGTTTAGGAGACGACCAAGCTTGACCCGTGTCCGACCACATCGATACCGTTTTTACATTGAACCCCTCCCTTTCGACGACAAGTTTCCCACGAGTCACTTTCCATCGTTCGCGACTACGATTCTATCGCAGAAATATTCGTTTCGAATCGTTTTGGTCTTGTGACGTAAATTAATCCTTTGTGATACCGAAATAGTACACGTACGTATGTACAAGGAAGAGTATCGATAGCGTAACAAAATTAGGTCGTACCACATATTTATCGTTTAATATTTTTAGAAACCACGACATTCGAGCGACGACCTTATAGTGTCGAAAAAAACTTCTACCAACATCTGTCACTAGTTTTTGCAGGATATTCTCACAACTAATAAACTTCGACTGGCGCCACGGAGACAGCAATGACGCCACGAAGTCACGTCGAACGGAACTACTTCGTCATACGAGGTGGAAAAAATAATGTATATTTAAACGGACAAAACATTCGATTTCGTAGAATTCTACAAATTTGATAAAACAGCTCCCCGAATAACAAACCCATCGACGCGGTAACTCGTATTTTCTTCCTTAAGAATCGCGCAGACGATAACACGGCTTTCGTCTTGAAAATTTCTATCAAACTGGATCCAGAGCGTGAATCATCGTTCGGAGACACAATTTCGAACGTAAGGATGCAAATTCCTGAACCGTTATATTTATCTCTCGAAACGAGACATTCTTCTTTGCGACCTTGAACTTGTCCATTCAAATATTCATTTTGTACAGGTTATGTATTACGTGTACACTAAATATCTTTTTCCATTTTGTTCGGATAACCTATCAAGCCCGACTACATCAAAAATACATACAAAAATCGTAAGCTCGATAATAATACTCTTGATCTGTTCTTCCTATATTTACGCTAGTATTCTCGATAAAGAAGAACCCAAGAAACTTGTGGTTGTCATTATGGCACCTCCCCCAGCGGAGGTCGCGCCCTTTACTTTGGAAGACACTGTCCCGCGCGGTGCAGCGGCATCAAAGTCCAAACAAAATCTCATTAGCGTTCGTTCGCCTTTGTGGCGGACATGCACGAGAGCGGATACCGTCTGAAAATAATCCACGCGTCCCGTACATCATGCCTGTTCGCCCGATAAATAAAATCGTCAAAAAGGTGTCGCATAAATTCCGCCTAATGCACACCAGAGTCCTGAAAATATATTTCACCTGGGGTGGCGTGCGCGCGAACGCGAGAAACGGAAAGATTTAAGCGCCATCGGCGACACGACCGCGAAACAGATATTTCCGGGGGAAGAGAGGGGGAGGGGGGGGGTCGATTCGTTCAACGTTACGCGTAACCAAGGATCAATCTATTAATCGTTCGTTGATCGCGCCGGTGCGGGACGTATTAAAGCGCATCGGTCGGTTTTCGCGTCTCGAAATACGTATCCGGCCCCAGAGACGGTCGCGCGACGTTTTACGATCGTAAACGGCGCGTAGGAGAAGGCAAGAGAAGAAGAGGAGCAGCAGAAAATACTAGGGCGACAACGAGGAACGTCGAATACTTTTCTCCCCTTCCCCCTCCTCCCTCGCCCGTCTTCGGAGATCACCAACAACTCCCCCCCCCCACTACTCCCCCGTGTCGCGAGGAGACGACCACGAGTACTCGTATTCGTGATCGTAAAATTAGAAACGCCGCGGCGCCCGGCGAGGCGCCAGTTTCTCGATCGCTCCAATTCGTTCTTTGACATATTCGATGATAACCACGGGGATCTCGAGAACCCTTCGTCCTCGCGAGCAATTTCTATTCGAAGCTCGACAGAGGTTATATCCACCCATGGAAAGAAGAACATCTGATTTGACCAAGGTCAGTTGTTTCTAGTAAAACGTATTCGAATATCTGTATCGAGACGATCGATATTGTTTAATTATTTCTGATAGAGTCGATTACGTCACGGGATCACGTGATCACGTGATGGAGTGACGTGCAACATCATCCACCCACTCTCCTAACCTACACGTCACCTTCCGCCATTTTGTTCCGGTCGTTGCCAGCTCTGTTTATAACATTATCCTCCTTAATTTCCAGGCGTATATCAACGTGCTTACGAATCACCGCAAATCTTTTATTCCGCAGTAACTGTACGAATTTGTTTATCACGAGAACTATTTTTTTAATTGATTCGTCGAAGATAAATTGCAAGAACGTTGCACTTGTAGTATTCTCTGTTCGTGGGAAAAATATCATTTTGTTATGGTTATTCGAGTAAATTACAAAGTATATCGGTCTTAATTACGAGATGCATTAAAAATATCGAGGAACGTATGCATATGTTTATTTTCAGACCAGACCGGAAGGTTCAATTTATTCCGATTTTTAAAGCACCTTTCGTTCTTACGGAACTTGTTATTTCTGGTAAATTTTTAAATTACGTATACAGTATACAATGTAACGCGAATGTAAAGCGTCGAGAAACGTAGATATTTTCCACGTCTCGCCCTGTTTATAAGAACGACGATCCACGAACCATAAATAAAGGAATTACAAGAACACAGCATTCTGTGCAATTACACGACGCCGTAGTACGCGACATTTATGCAATCGCGTACGTTAATTGAGTGTGTGCTTCTAATTAGAACAAGCGGAAAAGTGTATTACTCTGCATATGGTAATACGGCGTCAAGCAGGATTATATTAAACGTACGATCGAATATATTACTATGCTAATACAATGTCAATATTAAAATTCACACATTTACTTCCTACGTTAATAACGCGGCTTTGAATAAATAACTTCGCGTTTAAGTATGTAGATTAACCTTGCCTTATATGTAGAATCGGATATATGAATTTCAATATTATACATTAATATTGGAAATCCATCGGCGTAAATAACGCATCTCCGAACCGAGCTGCACCTGCAATCGTAACTGTTTACATTTAAAGACTGTCAACCTGCTCTAACCCTAACCTTAAACATAACTTAACCGTGAAGTTGAAGAGATTGACCGCCATTGCCAACGTGAGAAAAATGACTGGCGCGAAAACCGCGCCGAAATCGTACGAAAAAGTAACTAAACCAATCGCGTGCCACATCGCGTTTCACCGAGCATTAATTCAACGGCCGAGTCCGTAGAAATTTGCACGATAAATCTCTTATCGCGAAAGACAGGCCCAGCCTACCGTACGAAGATCGTCGTCGGTGCTCGAGCGATATCTTAAGAACAGTAATTTTAGCCTCTGCTTTACGATAGTCTTTTGCCTTCTGCGCCGTGGCGGCCACTATTTATCGAGCCCCATTGTTCGGCGTAGAAAGTACCAGTGGCGGATAATCACTTCTAATTATCACCGGTCCAGAAGCACGATCGCGATAATCGTATTTCCTGAAAATAAACTCGTACACATTCGGACCGAGGCGGTCGCGCCGGATTTCACCAGGAAATATTTCCCATGTCGCCGGATCCGCGACTTTTCCTTCGAATACGAACACGCCTGTCGATCGTATTTCCCTAGATTACGCGTAAACACGTGAGAACGTGTCTTGACGATTACGAACTAGGTTATAACCAGCATTTTACGCAATCGAATACTTGATTTGCATCGAAAACTAATTGTCGTTAACGAATGAGTATCGTTACGCAAATATAATATTCCCCCAAATGTCACCACTTATTTTGCCTTCCGAGAAAATTGTTTATTCGCAACTTGGTTTCCATAAACTCGATACGCTCGGTGTAAATGTGTGCAGTCGAATCGAACGCATACTGCACGCTGTTTCCGTGTGTCAAAAATGACTGCAGTGTAAACCGAGCCTTCGGCCTGCACACGCGTTGCACCATCATTACCCACGCAACTGCGGATTTCCTTTTACTAATAAGATCGCAAATTGCGCGCGGCAGTAATTTCACGTAAAGGATAGTCAGTCGCGTGTGTAACATTTCTGCCTATACTTTGTACGACAGACGAAGTTGTGATTTAAGGTTACGGTAGACCGGCACGTAAGCGTTCCGATCGCCGATTAGAATCGCCTCCGGCGAACGACTGACGCAATGACTTCGTGAATCGTTGCAGATCGAATTACTATTGATAATTTTACTATTTGCGAAAACGCGACAGCATCACGATATCCTCCGACATCTCGAGTCAGCAACGGTGCAACAATGCCAGAATCGTTCGTACATTGGAAGCAGGGGTAAAATTGTGTTTCGTGAACAAAATCTTAATTCTTGTTTCGAGGTTATGGTCAAACGATTAACGGAAGTTAAACCTTCGAAACGACGACCCAACCTAACCTAACCTCTGCTTCTCGAATTCTATGAAACAACGAACGAAAATATCGAAGAATCAGCCGTAAAAAGGTAAACGTGACAGAAGTGGGGCAGGTATCGGTAAAACGTTCGATCGGCACCTAAATCGTTAAGCGATTAGGAAATCGCGGCGACGTGCGTTCACAGGGAGCAGTTACGTGCACCGATCGGATCAAGTTTCTCTCGTTACGCTTGTTAACAATTAATTTTATCGTTGTCACGTGAGCACGCTCGCACGGTAGTTCGAAAATCCGCCGGCATAAAACAGCGAAGTAATGTCGGCCAGTTGGTAACCCGTGGTTAAAGAAAGAACTATGTAAACGCCCCGGCCTCTCTAACGAAGCGATAGCCATGCCTCCGTACGCAATAAACACGGTTGCTGGACGTAGCAATAAACACGAGCCTAATTGCCGCACTCGCATTCCGCGGTACCACGCGAACGATTTGCATTTCGCCTGTAATTATAATTCCACCCCGCGGTGGCCAGGCAGCGGGCGATTAGCGAGGTGTCGCCGGCCATTTCTGGCGTTTTCGTGGCTCGCGGTCGTCCATCCTTATTACCGACCGTCTATCAACTGATCGTTGGACAACTGTATCGGCCGCGGATACACGCCGTTTCAAAACCTTGTTCGGCGACCTCGTAAATCCACCGTGTTCCGCGTAAGAGCTTAATTAGACGTTTTTCCCTGCTGTTTTATGGTTAGTTTAGACATTAGCCTGGCGCCTGTTCGTTACTCGCGATTGCGCATGCTTAATAGGATAGTTAGAAGTGAATGTTGCTGGCTGGGAATACATTTCGCGCGGCTAGGCTCTTTCGATGTATTGAATATCGTGGACAAACCGTTTCAGATTTTCGTGGACCACGCGAATTGTGTCATTCCGGAAACTGGCATGATTTTGACAAAGAAAGCATCGAATCCTCGAATCACTCGGGGTTTATTCGATCGATGTGGAAATAAAATTTTTACTCCAGTCCCGTTGCATCGTAAATGGAAAGTATACCGTTAACGTGTGAAAGGAAATGGTTTACGATATCGTCGAAAGTAATAAAATTAGTTTTACGAAATATCGATCGACGCAATAAACTTTATGCAAATACAATTTGGTATCTTATTTCATGTGAAAATTGTCCTTTCCAATTATTACGCCAGGGGGCAGTTTTTCTGATGATCAGGCGTGTCTAGAGTTTCGTCTGTTCAACATGCGTATAATTATGACTATTTCTTTTCAACCTTTTCCTATTTCATGCTCCATCATACCTTTTTGTTCGTGTTTTTTCATCTATTCGTATATTATTATACTTTCACGATGAGAGAAATCGTCGCGTATCGAATGAACGTTTATCGCTGTACATTTTTATTGCACAGTCGTGAAAGAATTTTTCTAATTTACCAAGTTCGCAATTAGAACGTAATTATGTATTCGAAGATTCCCTTTGTATTTTACGTGAATCCTGGAAAAATCGATCTATTTATATCGAGAAGGAAATATACTCGTCAACTTTCGATTCTTACCGTGTCCAGTACGGTTATAGAATCAGTGTTTGTTATGGTACGAATTTAATTCGAACAAAGTGGAAACAGAATCAATGCTGATGTATAGTTATGACTTTCGAGTTGCAAAACTCCGGTCTGTTTCTTTTTAAATATGATCTCGATGCTATTGGATTAGCTATTTGTTCGAATCTGTTTTCGTACCAGTTTCCGAGTCTGTGAAAATAACCAGGGCTAAAAATATTCCCGGTGGATTTGGCGGTGGAAAAAACGCGGGTATTTGTGTTTTATTGCTTTTGTAAAACTTTGCTCGGTTCGTCGTGCAATTATATCGGATTTATTTGTAACAATTTAACGCAAAGAAATTAAATACAACATTTCTGATATTACACTTATTTATTTATATCAGATTTTCTACAGGGGAAAAATTGAACAGTGCTGTATGTAGTAGGGAACTGTGGCGTCGCTTCTCATGCTCGCCACCAGAGGGGTCGTGCTCTCACAGGCACTCGAGCGACCCCTCAGTTGTTATATATTCCTCGAACGACTTCCCAATATCCCAAGGGCTGCTAGGAAGCCTTAGTGATGAGTCCACTAGCGCCCTCTCCTTTCCTTTTCTGTCTACGAATATCACGAGTTCCTAACCTTAGCGAAAGCAGCGCCATAGAACTCTTTTAAACGTTCATTTATTTATGTATACAAGAAACACAGAGTAAGTTTATATAAAGGAGTTACTAAATTGCTATTATTAAAACCTAAGCTCAACATTAGTATTGTCTATTGTTAAAATACAGATATTTAGTTTTGTTTCGATCTGCGGGGGGTTAACATTCTCCATCAAAGACTGCACTTACCTCCTGTTTGCTTTCACCTAAACTCCACCTCGGCTGTTTATCGTTGTATGCTCGGTAGTTGTGATTGTATCAATAAATTCTGGGATTACGGTCGAGTTCGTTTGAGGGGAACGTCTCTCGACAGAGGGCGTGAAAAGAGAATCATTCTTTATCAGCCGTCCCTCGAGAGAGAGAGAGAGACTCGAAAGATTCAACGGGTAATTGGGCCTGTATTGTTTGTTCATGGCTGACAGAGTACGTTAACATTCCTTGTTGCGGATGATTGGTATGCTTTCACCCACACTTTGGCAAGTGCTCATTGTCTTAAGCGTTCGGGGCTGGGGATCGCCGTACGACATCGCTCTCTGTTATTATACGGGCTTATCGGTCTGCGGGGAAACTCGTCGATTTCTCATAATTAGGTGAAACGCGAAAAATGGTATCGTCGGTTTCCAGAGTCCCGACTGGTGGGATCCCCCACTGTACAGGGTGTTCCAATAAAATACAATGCACGAGAACAGTGAAAAAACTTTCTAGAAACATTTATAACCATTCTATTTTGAGGTTAGGTCAATTACATTTGGCAATTCTAAACGAACTTTGGATGAAATTCATAGCAAATGAAGTACTGCCTTTGACACAATGTTCGATAGTTCAAGTAGTCGGTATTATTATAAATTATTTATTATCGAGGATTGTTGTTTGAATAGTTTTTTCTTTGAACTTTTCGAGGTTAGCTATTATTCGTATGTTTCTATTCTTCGTCACAGTCGTTCGTGAACGTAATAATTCGCGTTGCAGGCTCGTTATGGCGTTCCTTCGCAGACGTTTCTGGCACTTTCGGTTTCCGAATGTCGAGACGCGTTGCGCAATCTCCTCGCTTTGTATCAACTGGGCCAAGCCGGAGTCTTCGCCGAGAAGAGGACTCTGACCGTTCGCATTCTTCGCTGTCCAACCGGCTGGCACGATCAGAGTCACATCTTTCGAGCGTCCCCAACAGCCAGCAAACAATGATATACCGCCGCGATCGTACCAACAACCCCTTCAAATGGATTTTTCAAACTGTCGTCGACGCACCGTTCCTCCAATCGCGTTGAAAACTTTCTTCAGGAAGCTATTATTTCTCGTATCGATAGGAAATTGCGTCACGGGTAGATCGAAACGATAGATTGCTCCGGTCAATTGTTGCTAAGATTTTCATCGGTTCGATATACAGGGTGTTCGGTATATCTACGGGCAAAAATTTAATAGGAGATTCTAGGGGCCAAAATAAGACGTAAATCAAGAATAGTAATTTGTTGATCGAGGCTTCGTTAAAAAGTTATAACTGAATTTTTTTCTAGAAAGTGGGTAGACTTTCGGGGGTATGTCTACTCATCAAAAATTATTGCAATTGACCCCCGTAACTGAAAATAATTTTTTGAAAACGATTTGAAATTTTTTTTTCGCCAAGAAATTTAAGCATCTATTCGAATTTTTTTCTCGAAAGTGCGTAGGATTTCGGGGGTATGTCTAATGATCAAAAATGATTGCAATTGACCCCTGCGGCGGGTAATAATTTTTTTAAAACGATTTGAAATTTTTTTTTCGCCGAGAAATTTAGGCACCTTCTCGAATTTTTTTCTAGAAAGTGCGTAGGATTTCGAGGGTATGTCTATTCACCAAAAATTCTTGCAATTGACCCCTGCAACCGAAAATAATTTTTCTAGAACGATTTGAAATTTTTGAATTTCATTGTTAATAACTTTTTAACGATGCCTTAATTAACTAATTGGTATTCTTGATTTTCGTCTTATTTTGGCCTCTAGAATCTCTCATTAAATTTATAGCCTACGTTGAAACATCAAAAATGCCATGGATCAGAAATGGTCAGACAATTTGGATCAAATTTTATTTTTAAAATTGAATTTTTGCTTTCCGGCTGAGGCCAGCGTGGATTTCTTCTCGTCGAAGAGCCTGTACTGGGGCATTTCGAGAGGCGAAATCAATGAAGAAAGGATATGGGAAAAAAAGTAGAAAAAGCTCGTCAGGAACGGGTATCGAGCCGCCCTTTCGCCGACGTCGATCTTATTGTCCCGGTCGCGGTGGCGGTTTCTACCCCGCGGCTTCGTATAATACGATTTCCGCATATTGTCTCACGTGAGCGGCCATTCTTGCAAAAGCGGCTTTATAAGAGCGGTCTCGCGGGATCACGATTATATTGTTACCGCGGTGTACGTACACATAAAGTCCGCTATCCATTATACCCGAACGAATAAAATAGAGATGTATTGTCCTTATATACGGGGCAAGTTGTACGCCTGCGAGCTACACAGCCATTTATTATTAGTTAAATAAATATGTAGCCCCGTCGATACACGCGCTTGGGCCCCGAGACCGTGTGTCCACTTGCTACGGCCTCTCCTGACCAGGAAACGCGATATCGACCGTTCCCCTGGCTCCCCTTAACGATGGCCACGGGTCCAACGTAGCCCCGTTTCCGTGCTCCGTGTATATTTCGCCGGGGAACCTACGAAAAAACAAGGAAATCATGAAATAACAATTATTCCATCGACTTAAAACGATTGTTAGTTACGAAAACTCCACTTTCCCCACTGTGACTCGTTTTACGTCACACTTGGCGTTCATATTATCTTTTTTAGTTGGATTTAGAGAGGTTTAGAAGTCACTAAAGTCAATTATATAAAATGTTGGTCTTGCAAGCTTCCAATAATTTTAGAAAATATCTTTTTAGCTTTGGTGAATGTTACGCAAAGGTTGGAAAGATCGACGAGTTATTAGAGAATATCGCCAAGCAGAGTAATCGTAAGATTTATTAATCCCCCGTTGCCAAACTCGGTTCGTTAGAGTAAAACGTGATTCTCCGTTCTGGTAAAGCGACTTTCTTGCCGCCCGCTTATCGTCCGCGGTGTATGAATACAGTTTTACCACCTACCGCGTGGTATTGTACCGGTTACGTGGGATTATTCCACTAACTTTCTTATCGTCACTTTTACAAAAGCTGTTTTATATTTCACTGGTCCACTTCGAGCGAAACAAGACAATCGTTCTCCGCTGTCATAGAGCCGCTTTACAGGCCTGTGTTAAGGAGACACGTTTGATTCATTATAGCCGAGCACCGGTACGCCTCCGAACTTCTAAATGTCTCTTTATTTTTTTTCCCCCCAAACACGTGCTACAAAGTTCTGTATCAGTTTTCCTTTCCTCGACAAACTTTGCGCGATACTGCAGCACCATTGTTCGATCCCCTTGCATTTTTATAAAACGTTTCAAATGCACTGAGTCCTCTGAATCGTTAAAAAATAGAACACACGTTTAAGAGTACACTTGGAACGTCGTATGAATGAATGAGTACAATGATAGAGTTTGACTGTTGCTCTAGAAATGAATGAATACGTTGCTAGAGCTTGGATTTGCTCTAGAAATGAATGAATACGTTACTAGAGCTTGGATTCGCTCTAGAAATGAATGAATACGTTACTAGAGCTTGAATTCGCTCTAAAAATGAACTGGTATTCGAGTAAACTTAGTACATCGTCATATGAATGAATGAGTACACCAATAGAGTTTCAACATTGCTCTAGAAATGAATGAATACGTTTCTAGAGTTTGAATTCGTTATAGAAATTAACTGGAATCCAAGCAAACTTGATAATGTCGTCGTCTGAATGAATGAGTACACTGATAGAGTTCCACTGTTGCTCTAGAAATGAATGAATACGTTGGTAGAGCTTGGATTCACTCTAAAAATGAACTGGTACTCGAGTAAACTTGGTACATCGTCATATGAATGAATGAGTACACTGATAGAGTTCCACTGTTGCTCTAGAAATGAATGAACACGTTGCTAGAGCTTTGATTCGTTATAGAAATGAACTAGAATCCAGGTAAACTTGGTCCATCGTCATATGAATGATCAAGTACACTGATATAGTTCTACTGATGCTCTAGAAATGAATGAACACGTTGGTAGAGCTTGGATTCGCTCTAGAAATGAATGAATACGTTACTAGAGCTTGAATTCACTCTAAAAATGAACTGGTATTCGAGTAAACTTGGTACATCGTCATATGAATGAATGAGTACACTGATAGAGTTCCACTGTTGCTCTAGAATGAATGAACACGTTGCCAGAGCTTTGATTCGTTATAGAAATGAACTAGAATCCAGGTAAACTTGGTCCATCGTCATATGAATGATCAAGTACACTCATATAGTTCTACTGATGCTCTAGAAATGAATGAACACGTTGCTAGAGCTTCGATTCGTTATAGAAATGAACTAGAATCCAGGTAAACTAGATAACGTCGTCGTATGAATGAATGACCACGCTGATAGAGTTCTAATATTGCTCTAGAAATGAACCAATATGCTATCAAAGTTCGAATTTACTCTATTTTAGAGCTATAAATGAATATGAGTACATTGATAGAGCTTCAATGTTGCTATAGAAATGAATCAAAGTGTGGATTCGCTCTAGAAATGAACAAGTTCACTCGTAGAGTTGCAATATTGCTGTCTCCATCTAACCCAGACCTATCAACGTTTATAGTAATTTTTATAAAATGCATGCACAATAAATTTGTTAGTTTTTACCGCTATTAGAAAAACCAGTGGAGCGTGTCTGCTATAAATTTGTGCTTTTTCTGCCGGGCATTGTTCGATTTCCCAATTTAATTCGTACAATAGGGCACGGCATGTAGGAAACGGCGACAATAGAGCGAGCGTATCGTGGCACACGGTGAAACAGGTACCTCGTGTGGTTGGATTTAATTACTTTCACCGGTGCGACGCAGCCCCGGTAGGAAGTTAATTAATTTTTGTTCGCTTTGCCCGTTGTTTACCACCGATCGGGCCCAACGATCGCTGGCTCAACTCGCTCGTTACCGACGCCCGAGCCCATCGAGGGGAGGGATCTAATTCGTTTTAGATCCCTGGGCGACTCTCTGTTCTTCCGATTGTTACGGACCCGGTCGTCGACTGCTCTGCACGTGCCTCTCTCGTTTCTCGCGGCTCTAATGGAAAGGCAATTAACGCGGTCTTTTATCGATCCGTTGTCTAAGGCGCTCGGTAAATACTGTGGAACCGGCGGAAAAAAGTCCACGATCGTTACGGTACACGGAGAGAGCATTCCGTCGGGGAACGCTTTCGACTGTTATTGAGGCTGATAAAGCTATCGCCCCGGAGAGAGGAGAAACGGTGTACGTAATTTGGGGTGGTTCGTGTTGAGAAACTCTGGCTGATCCTGTTAGGTAACCTCGATACTAGTTGTGCAATTAGTATGCATCCAATGGGGAGTCGAGATTAGATGAAATTAAGGGTACTTCCCGTTCACTATATTTAGATTCCAGCTATATAATGGTCCATTAGAGGTTCGATATTGCTCTAGAAATTAGTGAATACGTTGCTAGAGCTTGGGTTCGCTCTAGAAATGAACTAGGACTCGAGTAAACTTGGTGCATCGTCATATGAATGATCAAGTACACTGATAGAGTTCCAACGTTGCTCTAGAAATGAATGAATATGTTTCTAGAGCTTGGATTCGCTCTAGAAATGAACTGGTACTCGAGTAAACTAGGTACATCGTTATATGAATGATCAAGTACACTGATAGACTTCCAACATTGCTCTAGAAATTAATGAATACGATACTAGAGCTTGAATTCGCTCTAGAAGTGAACTGGTACTCGAGTAAACTTGATACATCGTCATATGAATGACCAAATACACTGATAGAGTTCTAATATTGCTCTAGAAATGAATAAATACGCTATCAAAGTGTGGATTCGCTCTAAAAATGAACTCCACCTTTAGAGTTGCACTATAGCTCTAGAAATGGATTAGTCTATCATTATAGAAGAAATCTTTAAGTAATATAGCGATAGTCCATGGATGGGGGAATCGCGACAGCTGTTATTGGTAGTTGTTAGGCAATTATGCTCCCGACTGAAAAGTCAGAGCGATTAAAAATGAGATTGTAATCACGGGGATGGGGCTGGTCAGGCGATAACGATAAAATTTGAGCAGCAGCCTCGCTTAACGAGATTGTTAATGTCCTTTCTACGATGAGGTTGCGTTAGGGCGTTGCAAAAAGCCGGGGATTCACGATTGGTTTTAGAGAAAGGAATGCGTGCGCGCGCCATGAAACGTACACAGACGGTGAGTGACCTAGAATCACATTATCGCGATATGTTCTGCTCGCCGACCCACTGACGTGACACGCCCAACAATCCGGAGCGATGTATAGTCGGTAGAGGCGATACGGCGAACATCTCTGCGGAGTCGTTCGAAATTTTAGACCCTCGATTCCGGCTATTAAAACCGCCATAAGACACTCGTTAACAGAAAGGAAACGTAACCGTATAACGAGACACGTTATTGCACCGATTATACCGTTACTCGAACCGCTACGAAGACACTGTGTTAATTCCTTTTTTTTTTCCAAAACAATCCGTTGACTTTCTCGACGCTGAAACTCCTCGAGAATCTCGATCTGTCTAAAAATTAGTCTTAAAGCTTCCTGATACCTTGTAAAATTTTAAGTAGCTCGAAATGTTACAAAGTCTTGAATATTCGAGGTTAAAAGTCTAGAAAGAAGTGTAAAATCACGACTATCGTGAATAGTTTTAGACTTTTTTGAACGTGTCGATGCGTTCACTGTCCAGTCTCTCGGCGGTGTATCCAATAGCGTGGCGGTGTGGCCCACATACGGGTCACGGACAGTGAACGCGTTGGGTCTTCTAATTAATTTTTCTCAATTCCCAGACGATTCAGGGACAACCTAGAGGTCGCTGGTAAATTAATTGTCCGTCAAGGCCACGCATTAAGACTCTCCCCCCCACCGTCGGTGCTCTCTCTCCAGGCACAAAGATCGAACCAGGATCTGTCGTGACACGCGGACGTACAAATGGCCTTGAGCAGCGAATCGAGGTCGACTGGACTCTTCCCGCGACGGGATATAATTAATAACTGTCGTTCGTCGCCCAAACCTCGTTATTAGCGTGTCTATTTCGGCGTGTTGCATCCACCACGGTCCGAAAATGTTTATTTCGAGCAGATCGATCTTGAATAGGTACCTCGATATAGCAAACGATATTAAGATATAATCGTTGCCAGGATTCCCATTTTATCCGGTTGTTTGTTCGATCGGGCGATTTTTGGCCACCGGGAACGTCATCGGGCTACGATAATATGCTTAAATGGCTATTTTCGTGCGTAAATCGGCTGGAAATAGAACGTATCTTCTAGGTGGACGTGAAATAATAATATTAACCTCGCCGCCGGTAACATTTGCCGTGTCAATAGCAACAGTCGCACGTGACGCGATCGTGCGAACCGTGAGAGATAAGGTAAAAGACCCAATACTTGGACACGTCCCAGGATTTCGATACTACTGCAAATAATACTGATTATTATGCTTCGTCCATAAATAAACTGTTTTATTACGATTTCCAATCGAACATACTTCGTTTTAAAGGCGATAGTCCAGTAATCTTTTACCCTCGTTTC